TTCCGATCTAGAATTTCCTCTGGTCTTCTCTCTGAGCAGACTCAGAGCATTCACCACCATGTCAAATATACCTTCTGGAACACCAGGCAAATCCTCAACCCCCCCCCCCCCCCCCCCCCCCCCCCCCACCTCTGCCTCCCCCCTCCTCTTCTGGAGATAGTAATGCTTCTCATTTTGGGCCTTACTATTAGGTGGATATATGCATTTCCTGAGAAATATGGACTTTGTGTATATATATATATACACATACATGCGTGCACATGCACACACACACACACACACATATAGGAAGGATTTTTTTTAAAGAGATTATGTAGCTAGATTTTTAAAACATTGTAAATTACTAAATGGTTCCTTCAGTTGTAAGTTGATATATATTGTAATCTTTGTGAAATTGTATTCATGAAAATTTAACATTAAACTTGGTGGGGGGATCCAATTACGTGGTATTAAAATTTTGAACACCACCCAGTTAGACAGTATGTGTAGATCTAATAATAATAGATCTGGGGCAGCTTTCATCATGGATTAAAACGTACTGAGCATATTATGTTTTTGGTATATCTGAAAATAAGATGTTAAGTCCTATTGAGAGTCTTTAAAATAAACTATTTTTATAAACTTATACTTTGAAAATTGATTTTCATTGTAAATGCCGTTTACTAATAAACATAAATGTCCTAACTTTTTTTTTTTTTAAAGCAAGTGAAGGGTACAAAGAAAAGCCTTAGGTCTTGGCAGAAGCCATGTCTATAATTAAAGTTAATATTTATTTATTTTGCACAGGCAGGCTTTCTATTATCTATGCAAATTTCCATTATTTGGGCATGATCCAGTAGGCTTTACTGTTTAACCATGTAAAGAGACACAAGGATTATTCACAATAAAATATTTATTCACAGTAACATGTATTTACCGCCACACTAGGAGACTGTGTCTTCCATATCTGTTTCCCAGATTCTCGGATGCCTGGCACAGAATAAGTACTTAATAAATATCTATTGAACGACAGACTGAATTTAGAGTTTTTAATTAAATGACCAGTGAGTATTATTTTACATGATTTATGTACTCATGAAACATAAACGTAAGGAAATTAGAGAATTTGAGAGATAGAAGAGGCCTTGGGAATAGCCGGAACTAGTCCTAATTTAATAAGTATGGAGCAGCCTGACTAGGGGCTCCAGGGAAGTTAAGTCACTAAGGTCGCCAGTGAGGTGGCAAGGAGTTAAACCTAATTCTGATTCTCAGACCAGCACTTTCTACTAAATTGGTGTTTTTCAATCTTTCGTTCCGTGACACTCTTACAAGATAGTACTTGTATGCACATTGGGGTAATCTGCTAATTTATCATAAGCCCCTGAACTCTGGTTGCACCGAGACCCCACTTCGCCTCCCTATGGGCTGAGGAGACTCTTTTCAGGGTTACCGGGTAATAAGATGAGAGGTTCTTGCTCTGGTAATACCTTGGCTTTATCATGTTGTGCTTTATGATTCTTTCTTGAAACATTACTGCAGCTTCTCTTTAGGAGTTGCCTTCATAGATTATGGCGCTGTCTTCTGGTTGATGGAATATTGTAAGAGTTAAGTGAGATTATATCTAAGAACACTGAGAAAACCCCAAAACTTTTTTATAAAAATGGGAAGAGTGAGATGTTGCCATCCAGTTACAGCAAATCAGTAAGCTGTTATAATCACCATGGCATTTAGAAAATCTTTAGACCTCTGTCCAAAAGTAGTCAGTAGATATTTGACAGTAGTTATTTAATATCTGAAAAAACTTAGAGCTGAACCATACCATTTGATTTCCGGTTTCAATTAAGCTGCTACCTTAAACACTTAGATCCAACTTGCCTTCCTCTCTATACTTAATTCAAGGCTTTTGAAACTTCAAAAATCACTTGAGTTTTGGATGGTTGTTAAAAGTGCACATTCTTGGACTTTATCCCCAGATTCAAATTCAGTATATCTGAGATGAGACCTAGGAAACCACTTTTAACAGGTACCTGCAGGTGATGAATCTCAGGATTTACTCTGTATAGATTTCAGGGTAGATGTATCTACTCCAGCTTCTCAGCCCTTCACTCAGGGACTGAAGGGAGTTCTGTTTGGGGTGGTGGTGAGGGTGTGGGGAGTTGATAGGGAAGAAGAGAAAAATAAAACTGGCTACTTAAATTGTATCCTTGGCATCTTACTTGGTTCTCAAGAGTTGTATTTTTTCAGCTGTATGCATCTTTGGAGTTTAAGAGGAGGAACCAAGTTGTCTCTTCATTTAGAAGAGAGAAGTATTACAGTCTTCATCATCCCAAGGTTAATCTTGCAGTGCTGCTTTTAAAATCATGTAGCCCTAGATCAACTACTAGCTGAACTAAAGGTAAAACTTAATGTTCTTCTCACACCGTTTCTCACCTCAAATAGAGAACTCTTTATGTAAGTCTTTTCCTATAATAAAGTGATTGACATTCACATGATTGACTATAGATAATATTTTTGCATGTCTACAGTTGTAAATATGGCAAAATGAAATTAAAATTGTGGCCTAGGCTAGTATATTTATTTTATTAAGGTGAGTAACTCTTCTCATTTTTTTCTTTAATGGAAAAGGCAGGTCCATGGTCATTGGATGACTTGTCCAGTATTAGAAATAAATATTGAAAGAACTGGGTTGAGGTTGCCTAGACCTAGAAGAGGAGGTACAGTTTCAAAACTTAGCAAAACATATTTCTCAAAAGCCTTGTGGTCAAGTCATAAAGTTAAATCCTAAAATGTACCCATCTCTGCTGTGTAGGTGATTAGTAGACCCTATTATCAGTACTAGTTGGATGCACTGGCAGGAGCCCGTGTGCCGGGGTCTCCACTCTGTGGGCGTTGAGGGCTGCAGGGTGCTGCCTTTTCCCTCTCTCTTCCCCTCTTCCCCCTCATTCTGATTTGTTACTGCCTGCCCTCCACCTCACTCCCTTTGTGCTATTTTTCCTTGCTTGGAGTTGGTGAAACTAAGTACATTAAAATTTCAAGACCTGTGATGAAAGAGAAATTAGTAGAATCTGAGTTCCAATCTACTATAATTTTAAACTATTTGATAAAAAAGAAGTGGTATTTAAAATCCCCAGGTGTGAAAAATCTTAGTGTATTTTTTACAGATAAGTTTTCTTAACGATTTGGGGAGAGAAAATCTCAGACATACTGTGTCATTTATATATATTCTATTTCAACAATAATTGGCATTTGCGTTCAATATTATGAATTTAAACATTTTAAGGCAATATGATTAACTGGCTTAATGCTTTCTACCAGTTATTTTACACAACATCGCTTGTTGATTTCTGTTGTGGAAAAAGGCAATCCTTCCCCACTCCAGATGATGACCCAGGTCAGGGAACATAGCAGAGGAATAGAAATAATTTGTTACATGTTTACCTCTCGCCCTTCCCCACTGCTTGGCTGGGGTACCTGAGAAAACACTTAGCACACTATCTTCACAAACTCATCAGAATAAATAGTCTTGTACTTATGTATTTGTGTGCTAGGGAAAATAAGTATGCTAAATACTAGGTCTTTTTTAAGAAAAGAATTAAAAGCTAGATTAATGTTTTGTAGAGTGAATTACTTTGTATGTTCACACAATTTGCGTTCATAAAATCTTCGTTCTGACATTGCATATTTGATTCCAATAATAATAAGCTCTCAGGTGTAACTATTTAAAACTAGATACTTTTAATAGAATGCAAGCTGGAAAATAAAAAAAATAATGAGAAATCATTGTCAGGTTATGTTGCAGATACACTATGATTTAATACAGTCTGCACTGTATTTATGATTTAATACATTCAGGGTAAAACAGCAGTACACATTTGTGTCCTTCACTGCAGATAAATTGCCAGTATTCCAAAAGCCATTCTCTACTTGACATTCTGACCTAGTCAGATCCTACATTTATGTAGCAATTATGTTCCATCCCCCAAAAAATCCCATGGAAACAATTACTATACTGTGCCTGAAATTAAAGTTGGGAAATATCTTCTTAATACCACCTATCAGGCCAAAGTACTTGTTTTTGAGCTACTAGCAGCAATGAAATTACATCTCATCTTTGACTGTGTACTCTGTACCTAACTTGTTATCATTGGTGGATTAGACTCAATCAATTACTGAGTGTCCTGGAAATGAGGTACACAGTTGTGTATCAAATGGTAAAATAATGAAAATAGCCAATGAGGAAAATTTTTCTTACATATTCAATAAAAAAAAGAGTAATTATATGCATATTACGTGTATACTTACATATATATATTTGAAGGCTAATACAAAAAGCCTGATTCATATGCATAGTTTAGTTGTTCAGTACCTTTTATTTCTATTCATAAGGTTGATGAAATGGGAATAAATATTACATTGGCTTATTTCATAGTTACTGCATTACACCAGCCCCCAAAGAGAAAAAACTGACCTTACGTGGTAAAAGCTTTTTATTTAAATTGAGCATAAACATTATCTCTAACAAGAGATATGACCCAAACAGTAATAAAACAAATACGAAGGAATAAAATCTATTAGCATAGAATCCTTATTAAAATGTGATATATAGATGGTGGTGGTCTGTAATGTTTGGATGGTAGAGATGAACTTCTAATATGCTCTCAGTCTCCATAGCCACTGCGATGTGCAAAACCATTGCGGCAGCTCTTGAAAACTTTCACGTGTTGTCCCGTGACACACAGGAGGGATGCTCTCCAAATGCCTGCCTGACCTTGCGTCACACGCAGTACTCCATCTCAGCACGTGGCAGTGTCAGCCCCAGGTATGCCAACTGTCTTAGTGGCCAATTCATTCAAAGCAAATGATTAATTTTCTTTAACACCAACTTGCTTTTTGACCAACTATAATTCCTGGTATATTTATTGGCAGCACTGTGAATTCAAAATAAATTCTGTTTAGCAAAATTATAGGTGGAAAAATATTTAAGGGCAGAAAAAAATAACTGTAGGCATTAACTTTATTAATACGTTCAGATACCATTTGACCCCTATGAAATTGCCTACAAAATGGCAATTTCATATGGTTCAATCTTAAATATGGACTCCATAATGCATTACTTCCTACACATATTTTTCTTCAGTGAACATCTCCATGTCCCATTATTCTATAGGTCACATTTTGGAAACAGTGTCATAGATAATAGCTGGAAGAAATT